AGGGAGCCCGATGCGGGACTCGATCCCGGGACTCCAGGATCATGACCTGAGCCGAAGGCAGTCGCTTAACCAACTGAGCCACCCAGGCACCCTATTCCTGTATCTTTATGACGATTTCCTTTTGTTTCTTTTAAATTAAGAGGAGTTGTTTTCTGTTACTTACGACCAAAGAATCTTAACTGCTAGTTACGTCCATTCCTTCCTATTAGGCTCTACCCGCTCTTGAGGGTGGAAGGCACACCTCACTCGTCTCTGTCTCCCCAAGTGCCTGGCGCACAGCAGACAGTTAGTAAGCACGGGGTGAACGGGCATTGGTCACGCCGTGGCTCTCCAGCTTACCTAGCTGCCGCTTGGCCTCTGCCCACGTGGGCTCGTTGCCTCGAAGAATCATGACGGCCTGCATCACGATTTCCACTTGGGCGGGGGGCCGGCCGTAAGACTTGATCTCTCCTATGTCCTTCTTGTTCAGGGACTCCAGGGCCTGGGCAAAGCAACTCACTTAGGGAGTAGGGCCCGAGGGGACTCGGGGTAGGACAGGTCCCAGCCGAGGCCCGCCTGCCTCTTCCCACTTCCCCGGGGACTGGGAGGACGAAGCAGGCTGGTCCCATCCCCTTCCCTGGGCCTCCCCGCTCTGATACCCTCATGGCTTCCTCCAGGGCTGGCAAGGCCTCTTCTAGATCCTTCTGGGCGTTGTCAGCCAGGGCCTGGCACTTGACTTCCTCGATGGCAATCTTCTCACTATTGGCCGTGACCGCCTAGGGACCAAGAGGACTCGTCTTGGCCTCGGGCGAAGGTGGGGGGCAGTGTTGGCAGGAAGGATGAAAGTTTGAGGAGCGGCCTGGGCAGTCCCTCACATGGTCGCTGAGGGCGACCGGGAAGCCCCTGTCGGTGAGCACTGGTAGGGCTGGGGGTGGGGCGCGGGGCGGGGCACGGGGCGGGACCGGGGGCGCGCGCGGGGTGGGGAGCACCTTCTGCTGCTCGTCTGCTTCTCGCTTCTGCTGCACGATGATGACCAGGTATTCCTCGCACTGCTTCTGGAACTCAGCCACCTTCTTCTTGGCGTCCTCCAGCTCCAGGGACATCACTTCCACCTTCTCTCTGGTTTCGTCGATCTTAAACAGTCCCGTCCGCAACTTGTTGGCCTGGTCCAGCAGCTCCTGCCGCTTCTCTCCCAGCAACCTGGGGCGTACAGGAGGGGACAGCGCCTGGGAAGGCTGGGCCCCCGGAAAGGGGAGCACCCCAGATGGGTCCCCGTCTCCCTTTCTGTTGCCGCCGTCACCACCACTGTGAGGTTTCTATCACTTCCTGCCTGGATCACTGCTAACAGGTCCCCAGCCGGTCTTCCTGCTTCCAGACTCTGATCCCTCTGGTTTATTCCGCACACCACCGTCAAAGCACCTGTTACGTGCTGTTGTCCTCACGCCCACTCCCCACGAGGAGCTCCCACTGCTCCCCACTGTGCAGCGAGCAGGGGCGGCCTTGAACCAGCAAACACCAGCCTCTCCCCAGGGGGTGGCCACCCCTCATCTCCACCCCGTTTCTCCCACGTGGGAAGGAATGTGGGCTCCGTGTTGACACGATTTCTGAGTTTTAAAGAAAAGCTGGGAATCTGGACTTTTCTAAGCCTCCGGTGTTCAATGTTAGCAACTTACTCAAAAAGTTTTCAACACTGTACAGGCCAAAAAAAAAAAAAAAATCTATGCAGGATTATTTTCTGGGCTAAGTGAGAAAATGTGCATGAAGGGCTCAGCACAGTGACTGGACCCAGGTACCCAGGGAAGGCAGGGGCTTTCTTTGGCTAACTGCGGAACTGCAAGCCCCTAGAAGAGTGCACAGCACATAGTAGATGCTCAGAAAGTACGGTAAGCGGATGAGTAAGTGCGGGTGATCATTACTGTTACAAGTGGCTTTTTCTTCGCCTTGATCAAAATACCGAATCCAATCAATGAGGTGGGTTGCTTCTTTTTTTTTACATTTGTCTTAGATCTTTCAAAGCAAAATATTATGTTGTGCACATGAAAAGGCACTCAGTGCAACTTTAGAAATGAATATATGATTCTTGAGAAGGGTGTAAAGTCTAGAAGAGGGTGGACTTAAGGGTGGAGAGGAGAGGACTGGTCTCTGTCTCATGAGCATTTACAGCACCATCACCATTATACTGTGCTTGGGAAAGAAACGTCATCCCAGAAAATAAGGACAGAACAGAGAGGGTGTAGGGAGGAGTCCTGGCCTGAGGGCTCTAGAGATGCGAACCCCAGCTCTCTCTCTCACCGCCCCCCCCCGCACCTCAGCCTCTGCCCCAGGGCGCCTGGCTCCTTGACCCCCCGGGCCGGCTCTGGATGTTTCCCAGCCCATCGTTGCAGCGAGCTCCCTGGGCCTCCCCGTGCTCCACGCCTCTGCACACCTCTTGTACCCAGACACGAGCTCCAGGTAGTTGGTAGGTGTGACATGGTTGTATCTCCGGAGCTCCAGCAGCATCTTCTGGGAGTACTGCACCACTGACCAGTGCATGGTGACAAAGATCTTGGCCACCTTCCTGTGGACCTGAGCCCCGTGGGAAAGGACGGAAGACCGGGAGTGAGGGCGGGTGGAGAAGGGACGCGGGAGGGGGCCTGGGGCTGGGCGTGCGGGGGAGCACTCACGTTCTCCTGCGTCCCCAGGTCCACCCCCATGAGGTACTTCTCAGCCACCTCCAGCAGGGCCTCATGGGGCCACTCGGAGAACCAGTTGATGGTTGTGCAGTTCACCAAGGCTGGGTATTGGCGGATCCAGTTCCTGGGGAAGGGTTTTGAGAGGCATTCAAGCCCCTTTGTGGAGGCAGGCAGCCTCCACTCCTGGCCTCCTCACAGGTCCATCCACTTTCCAGGGACCTAAGTGTCCCATCCCCTTGCTCCTGTGTTTCCTTGTCCTCCCAGTCCCACTCCCCTGAGAGCTAGCTCAGTGTAGCATTTAGGAACAGGTTCTGGTTCTAGCTGTGGATCTCAGGCAGGTGTGCTAACCCTTCCAACATCAGTTTCCTCATCTCTAAAATGAGAGTAACGTGGGGCACCCGGGGGGCTCAGTGGGTGGAGCGTCCGGCTCTTGATTTCAGCTCTTGGGGTCGTGGGATCGAGCCCCGCCTCGGGGTTCACGTTCAATGTGGAGTCTGCTTGAGATTCTCTCTCTCCCTCTCTCTCTCCCCCCACTCGCTCTCTCTCTCTCTCTCTCAAAAATAAATAAAATCTTTAAAAAAAATAAAATGGGAATAACAGGAATACGAATCCGGGTTGTTACTGGATTCAGTGAGGTGACACACGTAAAGTGCGTAGTGTAGCTCCCGGTGCGTGGTAAATACACTGTACCACAAACACGAAAACAAACAACATGGGAGCCCAAATCGCCTCTCCCTGCAATTCTCTGTCTCCCTCCTCCTTTCTGCTGCCCTTAAAAATCAAGTCACAGCAAGAACGGGTCGACAAAACATGATATATACATATAATGGACTATTATTCAGCCTTAAAAAGGAAATTTTGGGACTTTGAGGCGTGTGACCACACAGATGAACCTTGAGGACACGAACCGAGTGAGCTAAGCCAGACACAAAGACAAATACGGTATGATTCCACTTATATGAGATATCTAGGGTAGTCACTCGCAGAAACAGAAAGGGGCCAGTGGTTGCCGGGGGCTGGGGGGTGGAGGAAATGGGGAATTATTCAGTGGGTATAGAGTTTCAATTTTGCAAGATGAGAAAGTTCTAGAAATCTGTTGCACAATCTGTTGTGAATATATGCTTAACTATACCGAGCTGGACACTTGCAACATGGTTACGATGGTAAATTTTGGTTATTTTGTTTTTGTAAAATCACAACTAAAAATTTAAGAACAAAACGCAAAGCCACAACAAGACACTCCAGTCATACTGAAAGGGAGGGGACGCGTCCTCTGTAAGCAGCAGAACTGGGGAAAGAAGGCGAGGTCTAGGGAAAGGGGGGCGCCGTGCAGGGGCTGGGGAGCCGGGGCTGTTGAGGAGATCTCCCCCACCCCGGGAAGACAGGGGGGCCGAGAGAGGAGCGGGGAGGGGGGGAGTGGGGGCCAGGACAGAGGGAGGGAGAGGCGGTCACAGGGGTCACCTGAAGGGGTCGCCCACGGGGCTGAGGCAGAGAATGATGTGCAGGTTGTCCCGCACGCGCTCAATGAGGTAGGCAAAGAGGCTGTCGGAGGACTGGGACACCTGCTCGGCCTTGGCCTGCTCCACGATGTGTGCCTGGATCTGCACGGAAGCGACACGGGCTCGCAGGGCTGCACGGTGGCACTCGGTTTGGGGGAGGGAGGCACAGAGGGGACGCAGCAGCTGGTGGAGGGCGTGGGAGGGCGTGGGAGGGCTCGTACCTCTTCGAATTCATCAGTCTTGTAGAGATTGGGGACCTCGCCTGAGCTCAGGATGTTGTTGATGTCCTCCAGGAACGACTCGTCAGCGATCTGGGTGTCCACGAAAAGGAAGGACGTTGCCTTGAGCTCTACTCCCGCCTGGCGGTACAGACGCTTGATATCTGGGCCGGAGGAGGGGAGGAGGAAGACGGGACAGGCGGACGTCAGATGCGCCATCCTGTCCCTTGTCCCCTTCCCGCCGCCCCCAGCCTGCAACCCGCGCACCGCCCCGCCCTCCGCTCACCGGGCCTGAAAGGCTCACCCCCAGCCTCCATCGCTCCCCACTCTTGTCACCGCAGGAAGACAGGCATCTGACTTTTCATGCCAGCCCCAGCCCACGCCGGTTCGGAAGCCCAGCCGTACCTTCTCGGAACTCCTGCTTTCGATAATGTTTGGTGACCTCGATCTGGAAGGTGATGTACTTGCAGATGGAGGAGGCCAGGCGGGCCAGACTCTGGCGTCCACTGCCCCCGATGCCCACCAAGAGCATGTTGCCCCGAGGCTGTCCGATGACCCGCACGATCCGCGTGACTGAGGAGTGGGGGAGCAGGGCAGTGAGGCGGCGGAGAAACCTCGGGGGGCACCCTGGGGCCCTCAGCTAGTGACCGGGACGCCTGAAACTGAAGGACAGGGACCGAGAAGTGTGGGGCAAGGCCGATGCCTGGAGCCAGCTTGAGCAGCCACCACCATGGAGGAAAAGCCATCTGGGGCCCGAAAGGAAGGCACCTTCCCGGACTTGCTTGGGAACAGCCGGCCGTTGGGGTGCCGGCCAGGGGTGGCGGAGGGGCCGCTCACTGTGCTCGACAGCCTCTCGGAAGAGCACCAGCTGCATTGGTACCACCCCGGGGGACAGGTTGTACTCGCGGAGTGCCGTCTCCATGGCCGCCTTCAGTACTGCCAGGTCGATCAGGTCCTCGTAGACCCTGGGCTCCCTCAGGAAGTCCCCTGGGCCGGGGGACGTGAGGCTCAGATTTCCAGTGGCCAGCCCCCACCAGACCCCCCCCGCAAGGGCCCCGGCCCCCCTCCCACACCCGTAGCCTGTAGCAGCCGGCCGCGGCGCCAGCTCACCGAAGATCGGAGAACGCTTGCTGGGACAGAGATTATGAAACGTGAGGTCAAAGAAGGAGCCGAGCTTGTCGCTGAGGATGCCCACGAAGGCCTCCATGTCTGCTGCCTCCACCAGCCGGTCCGAGAAGACTCTGTCGGGAGGGAGTGGGCTGAGACCCCGGAATGCAGGGGCCGGGCAGGGGCTGGGCGCCAGGCTCGGGAGGCCCGCGTCTGGCGTCTGTCCGGGGCATCTGTCCGGCCTCGGGTGGGGCATGGGCACCTCACCTGAAACACTCGTGGATCCAGAGTCGTGTGATGCTGGACTTGGTGTCGTGGAAGTCCTTGTTGGCCCTGAGCATTCCCTGAAACACCTGCGGAAGGGGCGTGGCCGGTGGGCCGCGGGAGTCCCCTCCAGGCTGGAGCGGGAGGTGGGGAGGCTGGGCTGGGAGGGTGGCTCACCTTGGAGATGTCCCGGAGGTTGAAGAGGTAGTGGATCTTGGCGGGCGTGGGCAGGAAGCGCTGCACCACCGTGTTGTACACGTCCAAGGTCGCCTCGGTCACCACGTTCCCAATGGGCTTCACCTCCTCCTCGAAGTCCTGAAGCTTCTGATTGATCATGGTGCCAAATATTCGGATGATCTGGGACTCCTAGGAATAGGCCCTCACACTCACTTTCGCAGGCTCCTGGCCCACCAGGCTGTGCTGGGACCCCGGTGAGGCCAGCCCAGCATTCATCTTGGGGGCCGACTTTAAAGGAGCGCCAAAACCCCCCACAAAATCAAGAGAAATAATGTGTTTGTGCGATATTCAAAAATCAAAACAAATGCAGAATATGCACGATGAACAAATAAACAACGTTTTAAACAAAGACGGGTCAGGATTGCCGCGGTTTCCTTTTGGCTCGGGCTCTGATATCGCTCAGCAACGCACGGCGCCAATCCCGTAGATTTATGTAACACCGTGGTCTTTGTTCATGGTGAACTGTGGGCATCGGCTGCTTTGACATCGCATTAACATGTGCTTTATCTTGATTACTGAGGCTTCTGGGGTGCCCCCGAGGGCCTCACTCAGCTCCCCGAATCCTGGCGCTGCTCTTGGCTGTCAGCAGCAGGATCTACGTTCCTCAGTCTACTCGGGCCCCCTGAGCTCTCTGCCCCGCATCGGGCTTCACATTCCCCAAGCCCCAGCTACACTTGCCTCCCACGCTAGCAGCCCCCCTCCCTGCGTAACGGCCCCCACACGCACCTCTGCTCAGGGGTCCCCCCGGCCCTCGTCGATCTGCCCCCTCGTCCTCGGGGACATGGTCGGTTTTGCCTCTTACAGCACCCCCCCACCCCCCGGGTCCCCATTACGCCCTCACTGTGGGGAAGGTCATGTTGATGATGTTGAAGCGACTCTGGAACCTCGGAGAAATGACAGTCCGTCCGCCCCCGGGGGGGCCCATGGCAGCCATCAGGAACATGTCCTGGGGAGCAGAGACAGGACGGGGTGGGACAGGCAAGAGAGGGAAGAGACAGGGCATGGGAGGGGGGTAAAGGGAGCGAGGATAGGTAGAGGGGCCAGGATGAGCAGGAACAGGGAATGAGGGAAGGTGAATGGAAGGGAGGGATCGGGGACATTTCCTCGAGAATGAGCAAAGTGACATGTTTGTTTTTATTTCATTGTGATCCATGTACCCAAAATAGAAAATACAGGTCAGCGAAAGAACATTTTCTAGGCTCTGTCTTCTTTTCCTCTGTGTGTGCGCACGCGCGCGTGTTTTCTTTCCCAGAAACAGAAGAATGCGCTGTTAGTAGAGTTTCTGAGGGCCAGATGGACGGGCACCCCAGCAATGAGGATGGAAGGGCTGCTGCCCATCCATTTGGGAGAAAGAAACCAACAAGGAGCTCAGAATCCCATGGGCGCAGAGCCCGACTGGAAGGAGATGCTGGGAGGGCAGGGGGGACGCGGGGATGCAGGACGGGAGTTGGGGACCCTGGGCACCTGGGCCACTCTGGGTGGTGGCAGGGTTGGCATGTGAGCTTGGGGAAGGGGTGGAAGTGGGAGCATGGGGCAGAGACACTGACGAGAGTCAACGATAGGGACTGAGGATTCAGGAGCCGGGTGTGTGGGTAGGGAGGAGTACAGGATTCCGGGGTTCTTTCCTGGGGTCCCCAGGGAGTGGGGACCGAACCTCCATGGCAGGAAACAGAGGCCTGGAGAACAACTTCTCGGGAGGCTTACTCGAATGTACTTGATGGTCTGCTTCACGCGGTCATACCAGAAGCCGTAGTCGATCCAGAGGCGGATCAGCTCCAGTGGGGGCTGGGACCCAAACGTGTCCTTCGCTGGCATGTTTAGGTCATCCATAAAGGTGATCATGCTCTTGCCCCCGAACGGCACGTAGACGCCCTTGGTTCGCTTCTCCACCCTGCTCTCGATGATGCTCTGCAAGTTGTTGGATGTGGTCTGGTGGAAGAGATATGGGACGAATGCTGGGGCCTCCCAGGAGAAACACGGGGTTCGAGAGGAGTGCGGCGAGGCTCTCAGATCCCCGGGTCCCACAGCGCACCTGTGCAGACATGTTGACGATGAGCACCGACCACTGGCTGGAGGGCAAGGACTGGAGGACACTCTGGGCGATGGACGTCTTTCCAGTCCCCACGGGACCCACCAGCAGGACGGGGTTCTGGTTGGCCACCAGGGCGCTCACCAGATAGTTGTAGCGAACAGTGTCGACCGTGGGCACCATGATCTTATAGAAGGGGGAGCTGGGGAGGAAAGGGGGCCTTGTCCAAGGGCCTGGGCTGCTACTTCCCAACGCTGGCTTCCCTCTGCCTCCCGACCTGCATCTTCCTTACACATCACCCGCCCTGCCTCCTGAGGGGCCTGGAGATCGGGCGTCCTGCTTCCTCCTTAGGGACCCTGGCCCAGGCCCTCCAGATTCTGCTCCCTGCATTCCAGAGGCGCCCCCCGTCTGGGAGCCCCCCCGCCCTGCCACAGCTCACTTCTGCTTCGGGCCACATCTCCCAGCAACCACAGCCCCAGGCCCTGCTCTCACTTGGGAGGGTAGCGCCAACTCTTAGGGAGCTTATTCTCAAATGACGTCCAGGTGCGCATCTTGGGGTCCACGAAGTACTCGTACACTGTGTCCTAAGGAGGGAAGGCGTGTGAGGCTACGAAAGCCTTCGCTAGCTCTCCCCACCAGCGGAAGTGCTCCCGGACTGCTGCAGGGGAGCGAGGCGGCCGGACACCGAGCACCGCTGGGGCTGCAGGTCCCGACCTTATTTGGAAAGGAGCCCTCCATCTCTCGGAGGTAACTGTCCATCTTCTTGCGTCCCTCCTCGTCCACGGAGGCGCAAATGGACCAAATCATGCTGAACACAAAGGTCAGCTCCACCATGGAGACGTAGTTTTCACCGTCGGCTGGGTTCACCTGGACAGACGAGAAGGGGCAATAGCCTCGCTCTATAAGAGACGAACGGGGCATCTATTTTGGCAGATGGCCACAAAGGCTTAGAGTTCGCCCCCCTTCCTGGCTCTGTTCAGAAAACCATGTGGTTGTAGATGAAGCTCAATCTCAAACAGTCAGATAAACCTGAAACTTCTGGTAGCTCAGAGTTGCCCTGAGTCTCATCTTTGCTGCATCATAAAGACACGGCACCGACACGGTGGGGCGGCCGACTCCTGATTTCGGCTCAGGTCGTGATCTCAGGGTCCTGCGATCGAGCCCCGCGTCGGGCTCCACGCTCAGCAGGGAGTCTGCTTGAGACTCTCCCTCTGCCCCTCCCCCCACTCCCTCTCCCTCTCTCTCTCTCTCAATTAAATAAAAACTTAAAAAAAAAAAAAAAAAGACACAGCCGTGATGCGGCCACACCACGTCTACCCTGAGGAAGTGCCAAGGGCGCTCAAGGGGACAGGTCCAGGGGCATTCGTGGTGACTTCTTTGTAAGTGCAAAAACTTGGAGATGACCCACACGTCCACCAGTAGAGGAATGGGAAAATACTATGTGTTCTACAGCAGAAGAGCACACAATGGTTAAAAGCAATGAAACTAACCTACACACAGCAATACAGAACCCAAAACCATCCCGCCGCTCAGTAAGTACACTGCAAATGTGGTACATGACACGATACGGCTTTGAAATACGTTTTCTATGGCGACCTATGGGCTTGCGTGTAAATACATACTTAAGAGGTCTGTGATGAGACCACAGACACATAGAGTAGTTACTCGTCTGTAGAAGAGGGAGCGGACCAGGATTGGGAGGGGAGAGGTGACCCAACAGGACTTCAGCTTTATGTGAAAATTTTTAATTTTTAGAAAGGAAATTAGAGGGGCACCTGGGCGGCTCAGTCGGTGAAGCGACTGCCTTCGGCTCAGGTCATGATCCCGGGGTCCTGGGACCGAGTCCTGCATCAGGCTCCCTGCTCGGCAGGGTCTGCTTCTCCCTCTGCCCCTCACCCCGTTCTTGTGCCTCTCTCTCAAATAAATAAAATCCTTTTTTTAAAAAAGGACATTAGATTCAGCCATTACTTGTGTAATTAAACATGAAATTCGAAAAATAATAATTAAATTTGACAACGTCCCAAGTTCGTGGCAGAAACAGCATGTTTATTTATTGTTAAGTAAGCTGCACGCCCAACATGGGGCTTGAACTCATGACCCTGAGATCAAGAGTCTCACGCTCCACTGACTGAGCCAGCCGGGCGCCCCCAGAAACAGCACGTTTAGACTCCTGCTCTCAACACCTACCCCGAGGGCACGTGGCGCTGTTCGCCCCATCTCTCACCGGCCCCATGAAACAGCCACAGGCCGTGAGCAGGGAGCTCTTGCGAATGGGTTCTGCATTAAGATGCCGAGAACTACAGATAACATGACACACAAGATGCTGTCCAATCCAGAATACTGGACTTGGGCTTAGAATCATCCGCAGTCACCAGGGGTAGGTGGGAAACTGGGTTGAGACTTTACTGTCCGTCATTCTCAACACAGAGTCCTTAGTCTGCCGCTCCAGCTCACCCCAGCACACAGCACATTTCACCGCCCCCCCGGCCCACCCCCCTCAGCACCTGTGTGCCACCGAGACTATACGACAGTCCTTGTTCCGGCCGTGACCTTTGCAAGCTCATCTGCAGGGTTTCCATTTATATTAACTCGACCAGGAACGACGTATACTGTTAGAGATCTTCACTGTCCTATGACTTTATATTAGCGGTTTGGTTATCTGGCAATGTCTTTAAAAACAATCGGAATCATTGCTAGACGGTGGTTTAATCTCAACAGAAAAATGTCCAATTTTAGTCCTCACTCCACAATTCTAAACGAAAAACATTTTTCTTCAATATCAACCAACCTGAAAATTTCTTTTTTTAAATTTTTTTGAAGATTTTATTTATTTATTTGTTTGAGAGAGAGCACAAGCAGAGGGAGAAGCAGGCTCCCCGCCGAGCAGGGAGCCTGACAACGCGGGACTCGATCCCAGGGCCCCGGGATCATGACCTGAGCTGAAGGTTCAATCTGAAAATTTGTAAAACCCCCTCATCAGATTAGGCTGGGAGCTCCTTCCAGCAGAAACGGTATACGAAGGCCTCCTATATACCAAAATTTAACATAAATATTTTGAAAGGATGGAGAAATGAGGAACCAAAGGAACTATCCTCAGCTCCCAAACTACGGTGGGAAATGAGCGTGGGACTTGATTGTGCACTGTAGCGATGGAGAGTCCTGAGTGCGGCATCCCACCCCGTGTACACACGCGCGAACGCACCCACACCGCGGTCAGTGAGGCCTCCCCTTGGGGCCCCTGCTCCACTCACGTCTGTGTTCAGACCGTGTCTCAGGCACACGGTTTCACTCGGGTTGTCCCCGCGGGGCACAAGCCCATGCCACCCTGGCCCTGCTCCGGCCCCTCCTCACCCCGTTCTCCGGCGTGGCCAGGGCCGAGTAGAGCTTGCAGAGGGAGATGATCCCACTGTATTCCGGGAGGGGCACCAACTCGTTGCAATAGTCCTTCTTGAAGGCCAGCATCTTGTTAATGAACTTCTCAAACATGCGCTGAAGGGGTTCTGCCTCGGCCTGGAGTCAAACGACAAGGGGCTCTGCCTCGCTCTCTGCCCCGTAGGCCAGGTGGCTCACTCCCCCACTCCTCAGCTCCCCTCGCACCTTCGGTCTCTTCTCCAGCCAGCTCTGCACGTAGGGCTTCCAGCCCAGGTCAGTGTAGTCGGTGTAGACCATCCCACAGCGAGACACAGTGGCGGGGGAGGCCACGGCCAAGTTCTCCACTTCAAACAGGAGAGACACCTGAGGACACATTTGGTCAGAGCTGCCGACCCCCGTCGGGAGAAACACTCGGCACCCCGGTGCCCCCAAGTGTCTCCATCCGAGCACCAAGCATGGCCCGATGCACAAAGACATAAAGCTTACAAATGACATGCTTTTTAAAAAGAATTTAGGGGTCCCACATCGGGCTCCCTGCTCGGCAGGAAGCATGCTTCTCCCTCTCCCACTCCCCCTGCTTGTGTTCCTGCTCTCGCTATCTCTCTCTCTGTCAAATAAATAAATAAAAATCTTTAAAAAATAAAAAAAATAAATAAAATAAAAAGAATTTAGGGCTTACTTGAGATTAAGCTTATGGAAAACCACTCTCTCGCTCGCACTGAGTGGATGGGAAAGGCTGGGCTTCGCAGCCTGGGAACCCGGGAGCCCGGGCGTAGGGGGAAGGCGGCCGGCGGAGGCCAGGCGGAGGAGGGCTGACCCAGTGTGCACTGGCCGCTCTTCCCCACACCCACAGTAGACCCGGCATTCTTCCCTCGGACACAGGTCTCCCCGAATCCAGGCATCCTCCTCCTCACCTCTCCCACAGAAGCTCCTCATCTGGCGGCGCCCCAGCCCCCCGAGCCCTGCCGCGTGCCCCCTGGCCCCCCACTCCGCAGGGTCTGCACCTGCTCGGGCATCGCGATGCGCTCCCCGTTGATGAGGGTCAGGACTTTGTTGTCGTCCATGACCGAGTTCATGCTCTCGATCCACAGTGTGTCCACGGGGCCATCGAAAAGGATCCACTTCTCATCCGGCTTCTCATCTTGGTAGGAGGAGGATGGTCAGGAAGCTACAACTTTCTCCCCAGACCTCCCTTCACGCTCAGCTCCTCGGGGTTGTGAGCATGCACCTCCTCCTCCTCGTACCTCAGCACGCCCCAGGCCTTTTCCTCCCAAACATGGGCTCTCCACCCCCAGACTGCCCACCCGCCCCCCGACGTGGGCACCTGCACACGCCGTCCGCATGACACTGGACAGGACACCATCTGTCCACTCGTTCGTGTTGAGGTCATATTCCCCATACAGCTCCCCCAGGGACAACGCCTTCGGGTTCAAGGGGAACTCCTAAAAGGGACACAGAAGGGGGTTTTCGAGCTGCAGGCAGACGCCAGTGCCAAGATCTCCGTTTAGGTTCACGTCGCCCCCTTTGTTTCCAGGTGTCTGTATTTGCCCTCGGTCTCTGGTCTCCCCCAGGCCCCCGGGGCCCCAGCCCTGCCCTCCTGGCCCGCACTGCGCGCCCGTCCCGCTGGTCTCCGGCAGGCGCTCCCCCGGCCCAAGTCCGCACCCTGACAGTGTTGAAGCTGGGCTCTCCGGCGCAGCACAAGGAGGACAGGGAGGCCTGGAGGATGCGCCACGAGGTGGTCTTGCCACTGCCCGTGCAGCCCACGATCATGGTGGAGTGGCGGGAGTTCTTGGTCTCGTACAGCTGGATGACCTTGGTGAGGGTGAACCGTGTGCTCTGCAGGCCCATGTCGTGGATCTCCTGCTCGATGACGTCCCGCAGCTGAGGGGGGCGACAGACAGCGGGAGGCCCGTAAACCCCGCTGCCACCTGGGGGGTCACGCTCAGGCTGCCGACGTGGCGCCAGGGCCCCCGCGCTCCGGCCGTCGCTCACTCAGGAGCGGGCCGCTGCAGAGCTGCGAGGCCCGGGGACCCTGGGGAAGGGACTGCTCTGGGCCTCAGTGGCCTCCTCTGCTAAATGGGAGCCATGAGGGCGCTTTCCGTGGCAGGTTGTCGTATGGTCTCCCTGCTTCCGCCCCCCACCCCCACCCCCCGAATTCTTTCTCTCTTTCTAGCGAAGCATTTACAAAGACGTATTTCTATCTAACATTCCAGGGGTTTCAAGTGAAGGGATCATTCAGGGTAACTGAACGGTCACTCCTCCGGAGAAGAAAATTCCTGTCCTTCCTAGAATCCTCCTGCCCGCCCCTCCCACGCCACTGCTCTGAGGCAACAGCAGCTCCAGCTGGAGGAGAGGCAAGGAGGCAGGAGGGGAGCCAGGGGCCCGCCGCTCAGGAGCGGGGGGCTGTGGCGGGACAGTGGAGTGTCTGAATAGGTCCAGGCCGTTCCATAGACAAGGAAGCCCGGCGAGGTCGGCTGTCCTGCAAACAGTCACAGCCCGGGGACGGCTCTGCGTGCGTGGGTGAGGTCGGCGGGAGTAGCGAGGACGAGTACCTTGCCGTAGTCAATGACGGGCAGCTCGACGTTGGGGAACAGGTCTTGCACGATGGCGTTGAAGAGCGGCACGTCGACTGAGGTGAGCTTGGCGATGTTCATGTCTCGCATCGAGAGCAGCAAAACCTGGCCGGGAAACGAGGGAGCCTCCGGCCTGAGGAGCCGGGCCCCGGGCGCCCACTCGAACCCCCCCGCCCCGTCCAAAGGGCTGAGGGGCAGGAGGCAAGACCAATGCGGATGGCCGGGCGAGCCGTCAGCAGGACACTGGGTGGCGCAGGAGACAGGCAGCGGGGCGGGGGTCCCAGCCCGGGCACAGGAGCTGAAAAGCTTCAGTGGAGGCGGGGAGGACCAGGGACCCTGGAGGTTCGGGCCCAAGGGCCGTGTCCTCGACCTACCTCCTCATCGGACAGATCTGGCTGCACGCGGCGCTTCTTGCCCGCATAGCGCAGGAGGGAGGTGAGGGCGCGCAGGCCGAAGTCGTAATGGTCCTGCCTGGACAGCTGCTGCACAGCCAGTGAGTACAGGGTGCACACCTTCTTGGCCAGGATCTGGGGAAGGAAAACCGAGGAGGAAACCCCGGCCTCACGCAGGGACAGCGACACACACGCAGCTGGGCCTGAGCCCCGAGGCGGCCAGGCTGGGCTCTGGGGACAATCCTAACGAGAAGATGCTGGCAACGGTGCCGACACGGACCAGGGACCTCCCAGGGGAGAGGCCTCCACACCCTACTGACCGCAAGCCCACGTCCCTCGGGGTGCCTCTGTCCGGGGACTCATCACGGAAGGGACGTCAGAGCGTTAGCGACAAGACGTGATGGGCATACCTTGCAGTTGCCGAAGCCCTCCCCGAAGAGGATGATCTCTGCGATAAGAGTGGAATCAGGCACCACCATGGCAATGGGACGGAACATGGATTTCAGGTTATCTGGCAGCTCCGTGCGGCCGGCATAGCCTGGAAAACAGCACCGTCTATTTAGAACCCAGGCCGCTCCCCGAGGACCCATTGCCCATTCTCAGCCCCATTCTCCCCAACCCTGGCTCGCTCCCCAGTCTCCCCAGCTCCAGCCACACGCTCTCTGCTCCTCGGCTCAGCTCCCGCCCCTCTCTCCTACCTGTGGTCCTCTCCTTCCGTGGGGGTCCTGATCCAGATCCCTTCTGTCTCTCTCTCAGTACCTGAGCCCTGTCCTGCTCTCCCCGCAGACCCTCCCCCAGCCGTTCCCAGGGAACAGTAATGAGAGAGCCCAGGGCCTGCTTTCTGGGAAGAGTCCCATTTCTCCTGCAAAGGGGATGGCAGACAGACCAGGACTCAGGGAGCTGGCCCAGCGGGAGAAGACAGCAAAGCATCCCAAAGGACCAGGCATGTATAGACACACAGCGGTTATTGACCCATTTGGGGTGGACAGTAAGACTGCCTCCCCTTCTCCCAGAAAGCTGGACGTTTATCCTTCCCTCGTGCTGTGCTGTCTCTCTCGCCCCCCTCACTTGGGCTGAACACGCTGGCCTGGAAGGGGGAGGGGGCGAAGGGCTATCGGCCCTGGACGCCCCGTCCTCCTCCCCGCCCCGTACCGGGATTCATGGTGATGAAGATCCCACAGGACCACACCAGGTTTATTTCAAAGCCCTCGAAGTAGAAGCGGGTGAGGCTGGCGGCCAGGGCAGACAGGATGGACAGGATCTGCTGGGCCACCACGGACAGCACCTCCACGTTGATGCGGTTAAACTCGTCAAAGCAGCCCCAGGCGCCGGTCTGTGGGTGGGGAGCAGAGTCGCTGGGGGCCAGAGAAGCACCCGGCCCTCCAACGGGGAGCCCGGCCTGAGAGGTCCTGACCGGTGTGGCGGTCTCCAGGACGCGTGTGCTGTCTGGGCTGGGGTGGGAGCAGCATAGCCCAGGGGTGGTCCCTGGCCAGAACTTTCCAGCCCACAGCACAACCTTGGGGACAATCTCAGGGACAACCTCGGGGAGTACCGGAGCAGGCGCGGGTTGGGAAGAGGCCCGGGGAGGGAACCCGTGAGCAGAGGCCTGCGCTGACCTGTGTATATGCGTTACCTCGTCGAGCCCTCATGTCATCTTCTGAGTTTTCAAATAGGCAAAAATGAAGGCTGAGCGAAGCTCGGGGAGGTGCGGGGACGATGGCAATCATAAGCCCTGAGGCATGGAGTGCTGTACCTTACAAAGCTGGGAGCCGGACTGGGGCTCAGCTGACTGTCTGGGACTGGGAGGGGGTGGCGGGGTGGCGGGGTATGGACCTGAGCCAGGCCCGAGTACATCCTGCCCATGGACTTGTAGTCCAGGCCCTCGGAGCAGTTGACCACGATGACGTATATGCCGAGGGCCTTGCCCAGATCCTTGACGGTCTCTGTCTTCCCCGTGCCCGCTGGGCCTTTGGGGGAGCCCCCCCGATGCAGGTGCAGGGCTGTGGTCAGAGTCATGTAACACCTGACAATCAAGGACAGGACCCGAGTTGGACTCCTGTGTGTGAGCCCCCCTCAGCAGCTGCTGCCCCCGCCCCGCCCCCCTGTCACCACGCCGGCCGACCTGTCGGTCAGCGGGGTGATGACCAGCCGGCCGGAGTTCCCCAAGTACTCGTAGCTGTACTGGAACTGCGTGTTGGTCTGGCGGATCATGCAGTCGTCCAGCTCCTGGGGCAACAGGGCAGAGGAAGGGAGAGGCGGGCTTGGAGGAAGAGCTGATCGGGGAGGCGGGCAGACGGGGAGGCTGCAGTTACAAGACCAGGGCCGTGGAGGAGAGGGTCTACGGCCCGCATGGAAGGTGGGCGCCCACACGACTGCCCCATCCGTCACGGCAGCAGCCCGCGGCCTTCCTGGGCCCGATCCAGGGCCACCCACGGCGAGCACCCACGAGAAAAACGACGTGCTGGTCCTGACTCGGGAGACGGGACCGAGTGCAGAGCTAGGGCCGGGGGCCGGGGCGTCAGGAGGGCGCGGGCCGGGCGCACCTTCTCCCAGTAGAAGCGCAGCTGACTGAGCCACTCGAAGGAGCTGACGTCCACGAGGCCGCTCTTGTACAGCTTCTCCAGCACGTCCCGGGCGTGGACTTCTATTGTCACCAGCGCCACAATTTTCAGCCGTATGATTTTGGTCAGGTTCCCCCTGATGGCTTCCGAATACTTGTTCAGGACGGACACCTGCGGGACGAGGTGGCGGGGAGGAGCGTGGAGGGGGCAAGGCAAGCAAACCCTGACCACGCCTCGCCCCGGCCTCACCGGCTCCCAACCCCACGCTGACCCCGACCCCCCGAAACTCCTGACCCCCAGCCCTTCAAAGCCACCCGGACTTGCCTCGCGGGACTTCCACCACAAACCACCCTTGCTGTGACCCTGACTCAGACTCCAGCGCATCCCCCCCCGCGACACACCCCCGGGGCCCACCCCAGACTTGGAGGGCTCCCCACCTGCTTCTTCTTCATGACCTTGAGGATTTTCTTGTCTCCGCGCTCCTTAGCCGTCAGCAGGCACTTGGTGACGTCAGCCGTCCACTGGATCTGACTGGCAGTGATCACCACCTGGGGCCCACGCAGAGGCTAGATCCGCTGGCCCCGCACGCAGCCCAGCCCCCAAGTCCCAGCCTCTTCCTGGCCCAGGTGCTAGTGCTCGCTCAACAGGCTCCCTCTGTACAGAAGGATGGGGCTCAGGCCTACGGGCAGGAGCTAAGGGTCCAGCACGCAGCGTAGCAAGGCCTTCGCCCAGAACAGGGGGCAGGACGCCTACGTCTGGTGAGACTCGAGATTCGGTCTTGACCTTTGCGGCTCCCTTTGAGCTCTTCCTTGCTCCCTCGTTTCCACCGACCCCGGCTCACCTGGCCAGCCCACTCCTTCACCCACTTGTCCCTCTTGTTAAGAAACTTCTTGAGGGCCAGGCGACAGTTCCGGAGAAGGTCCCGTAGGGTCACCCTCATGGTCCGCTCCACATCACCAAGCCAGGACTGTGGGGGTGGGGGGTGACAGGGCTGAACGGCCAGGCCTCAGGGCCAGAGACAAGCATCCCCAGAGGGCAGGGGCTTAGGAGGGAGGACTCCAGGGCTTTGGGCAGCAGCTGGCTCAGGTCCCGGAGGGAAATGGAGGCATTGGGGGGCGAGGGAAGACGGTCTGCTTTTCAGGTCCAGGGGAGAGGTTAGAGTTTTCAGCAATGGCAGGTGGGTCCCTTCACGGAGATGTTGTCTCCTCACAGAGCCAAGCAAACTTTCCAAGGGGAAGAAGAATCAACTCGATTCTTAGACCCTCACCACTACTCACCTCCACAGGCCCTTCCAGAAGGACTGAGTGGAGGAAGTCAACGTACTCGCCGTCCCCTGAGAACATTCCCACGGCTTCCCATTTGCTGCTGGGTCCCCCAACCTGTAAAAGCAGGAAGCTCGGGATGGTCTGGCCTGCTCACTCCTCATGTCCACCTAGGAGGTACTTGGGCCCTTTGAGGGTAATCTCTGCTCCTCTCCCCTGACCCCAATATTACCAATTCTAAAGAGTTCTATCCCAGATAATCCAGAAGCATTCATATCCCCCTCCTGCTGGGAGGCCACGGCCCCCTCCAAGGCCCCGAGCACCTTGACATTGCCCATCTCCCCCCTGCCCCCCATCCTATCCCGGCCAGCTTGGCCGACCTTCTGCATTCTCAGCAATTTGATGTTGTCAAAGCATTTTTTGAGGTGTGGTTGCACAGCCTCTGGGTTGCGGGACTGGCCCAGAATCTCCAGGAGGTCATCATTGGACAGGAAGTAGAAGCGGGGAAAGATATGGCGCTTGGTCTCTAGATACATATCCAGAGATTTCTGAATGTCTTCCAGAACTGTGTTCATTTCTGTCAGCGTGTCCAGCAGGCCTGGGGGAAGAGCAACGAAGGACATTGCCCCTGCAGTGTGCCCCTGCAGCCACTTTGCCGACTCTCGAATGTTGGGGTACATATCGCCATAATGGCTGCTGGGAGCAGAGACATGTCTCCAAACCACTCAGCACGCTTAGCCCGTCCTCTTCATTAATCCATCATCAAGTGCTCATCATACACTATTATGCATTTTGTACACTATGCATTAACTACACGGTATACGAGATTCCACTAATATATCGACATCTCCTCTCCCTTCGGTCGTAAACGGTCCCTTTCCTCCGGCTCTGCCGGTCACCCCAAGAGCTTCTGGAAATTAGAGACTGTTCTGCACACACACAACCCCACAAGCGAAATCATTAGATTTAAATATATGTCACGTGCACACATCGAAACAGGGCTGCAACCGCTGGGGGTACCGGGGTCCCTCGGGGTGGAGCGAAAAGAGCACTGGACGGAGGGACAGACAATGGCCATGCAAACTGCTGCTCGTCCACGAACCAGCATGTCCGTTAAGCTCACTGAGCTCTCCCCTCCTTGTGGGTAAAACACTAGTAGCATCCACCTCAGAGAATGACCCACGGTACTAAGTAAAATGGATTCTCAGTGGCAGGTTCTCAATAATCTTAGTTTCCTCCCAGCCTTAGGTTTCGATTGGTTTATTCCCTTGTTGTCCCAGTTTCTAGCTTTCTGAGGAAAGTCTGGACGCCCTGGAACCTGAGGCGACCCTCGCGCCTTCAAGTTCAGAGTCCACGGGCTGCCAGGCCTCCGGGAGGCGACTCAGTAGCCGTGGGTGAGATGAGTTTGGTTTTTGTGTTCCACAAACGGATACCTGTTTCAGTGGCTTTGCTTATATATTGTTCCGAAATGTAATTTTGCCTGTGATCTCGAGTATTTTTTCTAACAGGTGCATGCTGTCCCTCAACTTTGCATATCCTCCTACAAACATTTTATCAGAATAATAAAATGGCTTTTTAGTGCATACCACCAAGGTTCTTGGGAAAATGAAAAACCTTTCAGTTGGCCCAAGGCAAAACAGAGGAGTCCTCCGCACCCCCGGACAGAACTCTTCTCCTCAGGACGCCCACTCTTAGCGCCCATCGCCAGACCTCACTTCCCTGGTTCTTTACCGCACTCCACCACCATCAACCAGGCCTTCCTGTGGGTACGTCTCTCTCCCACCCCCTCACCCCCTCCCACTACAGTACAGCCCTCCCGAGTATTTGTTGAGTTTTGTGCACTGAACTGTTATTCCATGCTCAGAAGAGGCGATGGTGATGGTATGAAGGCCAGCTACAACAGTCTTTTGATGAAGGAAGCACGTGGCCAGGACTTCACACATACTCAGCACCCACCGAGCCTCTGTCAGGACAAGAGGTCATGGAGCTCATGGACAGACCTGGATGGTGGGTGCTCTGCAGAGCATTGCTGTCCTTGCTCATCCGGTCCATGATGGATTTCCAGTTGTTGTTGATCTGGTCAAATAGGGCTGATTCACTGGGCAGCTGCTTACGGATGTCCTCTCCGAGGAAGATATTCTGAGGGGCGAAGACTTAGGGTGAGAGGCTGTTTCTCACATGCTCCCCACACTCTGCTCCCCACTCCCAGACCAGGAATGACAGCCGAGTGGAAGAGAAGGAGCATCAGAACCAAAGGGCAAGAAGCTCAAGTTCTGGAAGGGAAGTTGGGGTTGGGAGGCCAGATACCTGGGTCCAAGAAGAAAAACGGAAGAAGAGCAAAGGCCTTTCAAGGGGGGACCCAAATGTGAGAGGTCATCACTGAGAGTCAGACGCTTGGGGCCCAGAGGAAGGAGGACTTTAGAAGTGGGAAAACGAGGCTGAGAATAGGGCCAGGATGTAGGTCGGGTGTCAGGAACGGAGAGCGGTTCACAGGAGCAGCTCGGCGAGCGGGTCCTGACCTCTAGGTACATCCACTGGCGCTGCACTGTAAGCACCATCTCAATGACCTCCAAGATGAGGGAGAGGCAGCGCTCCCAGCGGTCCACTTCCTTCTCAAAGGCCTTGACAAAACGAGAGGCCTTCATGGTAGACAGAGCCGCCTGGTTATCTTCCAGGGCCTGGAATACCTCCTCTGTGCCTCTGGGGCGGAAAGCATCAGAATTACAGTCCGTCCCCACCTGCCAAACCTCTGGGGGCTCTGCAGCCCAGCTCGCCCGGCCCGCCCCTCCCCCAGCACCCCAAGGCCCCCTCTACCGGAGTCGGTGATGGCCCTTGTCCTTATAGGGAACTATGTCTAGCTGGATCACGCTCCAGGTCTTGGCAATGTTCTGTAACGCCTGTGGAGAGAAAGCAGGGAACAGAACAATCCAGTATTCGGTCCGCAAAGGGAACAGAACTTGGAGGGGCCGTGGGACCATGAGAAGCTGGCCGCCCGAGGCTCGCGAAGTGGGGGAGGCGAAGTGGAGGGGGCGCAGCCGTACCAATTCTATAGCCAGCTCTTTGGTGGCCGACGCAGAGATCTCCCCGATTTTCTCCACATGCTGGTCCATCCCAAGATCCACAATCTGCTCCAAGGTGAAGCGGTCAGATTCCTGATCAAACTCCCGTTGGATCTCATCTCTGACCTGATCCCAGTGCCTGCAGTCAGGGACAGAAGTCAGAGCATGAGGCCGGACATCAGGGTCTCCTGGAACGTGTTAGCATCGAGCTGCAGGCTTTCTCTCTCCCATTGGGATAGCATGATTCCATATACGTATTGATATTATATATTAAATAGGCCCTAAGATGCACTCCCGGGCACTGTGGGGACTGCAGAGATTGAGGTGCTGATTCTCTGGAGAGGGAGTTCAGACCGATCATTGCGAGTTTACTGTGGACAGATTATGCGCGGGGCCAAGCACTGTGCATGAGACGGCTCACTTAATTCACACGCCTGCTATCAACGAGGAACTTTGGTTCTTCCACCTGAGCCCGAGGAACCTGAGCCTAGGGGAGGTCGAACAACTTAGGCGGGTGTATGGTCAAGTTGTACTTAACTACAGGACACATAAGGGTGAAACCCGGCAAAAACACCATCGTGGACGCAACACAGAAGAAGTGAAATTACTTCCTTCTAAATGGATAATTATTACAACGTCATCTATAAAATAGCCCATTCTGGGGCACCTGGGTGGCTCAGCTGGTTAAGTGACTGCCTTCGGCTCAGGTCACGATCCCAGGGTCCTGGGATCGAGTCCCATATCAGTCTGGTCCTCCCTCTGACCCTCCCCC